AGTAGCCCATCTAGATTCCAAGCCCAGGGGAATTCTTTGGGTGGGTGGCAAAGAGAATCTTAACCACTGAACCAGGAGCAGAAGCTTCACGAGTGCGGGCTCTCCAGCCCCAGTCGGCCCCACGCCACGGCAGGTGCAGAGGAAGTCTGCCAGCTGGACGCTCCAGCGCCCCTCCTCGCGCGTGAGGACCCTGTGAGTCACTCCGCAGGGATCCATAGAGAGCCCACAGCGGCCCGGGAGCCAGGCTGCAGCCCGGAGCCCAGTGTAGGCAGCAGGTGTTAGAGGTGTGATACGGAGTGAAGAAGGTGAAGGAGTGCGGGTGCTGGGGAGAGGCAGTGCCCGGGGCTGCAGGGACTTCGGAGGGACCAGCCTTGTCTGCAGGTGGATTATGAGGAAGCCTTTGAAGAGTTTGGATCAAGACAGTGGTAAATTTAGGTTTGTACTTTTTGTTAAGTCAGCCTGACAAAAAATCACACAATGAATAGGAATCCGGGAAGAGTTTGTTTGAGGACATAGGTTAGAAACTCTTATAGTATACAGTCGAGAGGTGAGGGTGATACTCGCCTGAAACAGGTAGCTAGGCTTTTCTAAAAATTTGAGATATAATTGACATACAGTTAACCCTTGACTTTGTGGACCTTGATTTAATGGACTTGAGGTTTAACTAATAAAATTTCCTGTCTGTATGTCATATGTGAAAATTAACACCCTGTTAATTTTATACTTTTAACCAATATTTGCTTATAATTAAATTAACAGGGTTTTTTTGGTTATGAATTCACTGTTATTTTTAACAAATTTCACAAATAGGGCATATGTTGGAAAAAACACTGTAGTAATATCGCCAACAGAAATAAATATAACTATAGTCTATCAGTGGTTCTCAACCTTCCTAATGCCGCGACCCTTTAATACAGTTCCTCATGTTGTGGTGACCCCCAACCATAAAATTATTTTCGTTGCTACTTCATAACTGTAATTTTACTACTGTTATGAATCGTAATGTAAATATCTGATATGCAGGATATATTTTCATTGTTCGTGACCCACAGGTTGAGAATCGCTGGTCTACATATTTAAATGCAAAAGTCACTGCTCGTAAACAATGTTCAGCAAATGATCACACCGCATCACACATGGTAATTGGTTCTGTTGTCATGTGGTGTGTCTTCCTGCAGCAGTTTTAACACCTGGACATGTGCTAAGCCACGCCCCAGCCTGTGCATTTGTTACTCGAGGTAACTGGTGAATGGACGCATTTACTAGACCTCAGTATAAATGTAAATTTACTGTAACACATATAGAAAACTTTTCTGTGAAATTGAACTTTTCATGTGTACTTAATTTTAATTACACAAACGTGTCTACATAAGTAAAAAGATAAACTAATTTGTCAATTTTTTAACTACACATTTGGAAAAGCTACTTTATTATATAACAAACAGCCCCTAGCCCAAACTAGTCCATTATATTGAGGTTTTACTGTACAATACACATTAGTTTCAGGTGTACAACAATAATGATCTAATATTTGTACATATTGAAAAATTATTACCATGGTAAGTCTAGTTAACATCCGTCAACATACATAGGTATAGAATTTTTTTCTTGTGATGAGAACTTTTAAGATTTACCCTGTTTGTAACTGTCAAATATACAATATAGTATTGTCACCATGCCATACACTGTATCCCCAAAGCATATCTATATATATAAAAGCCTAAGTGACCACATGACCGGAACAACTGGTCGCTATGACACGCACTGACCACCAGGGGGCAGACACTCAATGCAAGAGCTGCCCCCTGGTGGTCAGTGCGCTCCCACAGTGGGAGCGCTGCTCAGCTGACCAACCCTGTCCTGGCAGCCCACCAGCCCGGCAGCAGCCACTCACTCCCTCAGTAGTCCTGCAGGTCCAATCTCTGGAGAACGGGCCAGGCACTGACAGACCAGTGCTGCCAGCACAATCCTGACAACGCTGCCAGCCTCCTGGAAGTTGGTGGCCGCTTCTCCTCTCTAGATGCTCCACTAAGAAGAAACGATATAAAAGCAGTCGCCAGGTGGCTCCCAACAACCAGTGCAAACATCAGTGGGATGGATCCTGATCCTGGGCCGGCAAGGGCATCCCACCACCCACCACCCACTTAGAGGGCTGATCGCATCTCGGCACCGCCCCTGGGGACCCCACCCATGCATGAATTTGTGCACCAGAACCCTAGTTTGTTTTATAACAGAGTTTGTCCCTTTATCCGTTTTGCCCACACCCAGGCCCTATCCTCTGGTAGTCACCAGTCTGTTCTCTATATCTAGGAGCTTGGTTTTGTTTTATTGTTTGGGGGTTTTTTTTAATACGTTTTTATTGGTTTTTTAGAGAGAAAGGGGAGAGGGAGAAAGGAGAGATAGAAACATCAAAAATAGGCTGCCTCCTCAAGAGCATACAATGGAGTCAAGACAGTCTCTTCAATAAATGGTTCTGGGATATTTGGTCAGATACATGCAAAAAAATGAAACTAGATCACCAACTTACACCATACACAAAAACAAACTCAAAACGGCTAAAGGACTTAAATGTAAGATGGGAAACCATAAAAATCCTACAAGACTCCATAGGCAGCAAAATAGCAGACATATGTCGTAGCAATATCTTTACCGACACAGCTCCTAGGGCAATGGAGACTAAGGAGAAAATAAACAAATGGGACTCCATCAAAATAAAAAGCTTCTGCACAGCAAAAGAAACCATCAACAAAACAACAAGAAACTCCACTGCATGGGAGAACATATTTGCCAATGCTATTTCAGATAAAGGTTTAATCTCCAAAATTTACAGAGAACTCATACAGCTTAACAAAAGGAAGATAAACAATCCAATCAAAAAATGAGCAAAGGACCTAAATAGACACTTTTCAAAAGAGGACATACAGAAGACCGAGAGACATATGAAAACATGCTCAAAGTCACTAATCATCAGAGATGCAAATCAAAACAACAATGAGATACCATCTCACACCTGTCAGAATGGCTATCATCAACAAATCAACAAGTGACAAGTGCTGGGGAGGATGTGAAGAAAAAGGAACACTCATGCACAGCTGGTGGGAATGCAGACTGGTGCAGCCACTTTGGAAGACAGTATGGAGTTTCCTCAAACAGTTAAAAATGGAACTCCCATTTGAACCAGTGATCCAATTTCTAGGACTAATATCCCAAGAAACCAGAAACACCAATCAGAAAGGATATATGCACCCCTATGTTCATAGCAACACAATTTACAATAGCTAGGATTTGCGAACAGCCTAAGTGCCCATCAGCAGATGAGTGGATTAGAAAACTGTGGTACATCTACACATTTCAAGCACTAGACCTCTAGCTTTCCATAATGGCTATGCCAACTCACATTCCCACCAACAGTGCACAAAAGTTCCCTCTTCTCCATATCCTTGCCAATACTTATTTATCCTCTTTTTTATAATAGCCATTCTAACTTGTATGTATGTGGTGATACCTGATTGTGGTTTTGATTTGCATTTCTCTGGTGATTATGGATGTTAAATATACCTACTGGCCATCGGTATGTCTTTGGAAAAATATACAAATCCTCTGCCTGCTTTTAATCATATTGTTCAGTTTCTTGCTATTGAGTTGTAGGAGTTCTTTATATGTTTTGGATATTAACCATTATTGGATATATGATTTTCAAATTTTTTCTCCCACTTTGTTGGTTGCCTTTTCATTTTGTTGATGGTTTTCCTTCACTGGGCAGAAGTTTTTTAGTATAATGTAGTCCTCCTTGTTTAATTTTGGTTTTGTTGCCTTTGCTTTTGGTGTCAAACTCAAAAAATCATCACCAAGACTGATGTCAAGGATCTTGCCCCTATGTTTTCTTCCAGGAATTTAATGGTGTCAAGTCTTACATTCAACTCTTTAGTCCATTTTGAGTTAATTTTGGTGTGAGCTGTTAAATAGTGGTGTACCTGATTCCGGTAGCTGGAGGTGCCACCCTGGAATAGGGGATACTAGAAGTGGAACGGTCCTGGGGGTGGGGATGGTGGGTTCTGTCGGGGACCCGTTCCATCTGTGATGCCTGTGGGATGTTCACTGGGACGGTCAGCAGGCCGGTGGGTGAGGGGGTCTGAGTGCAGGAGCGGGGTGGAGATGGGTAGAGAGAACCAGCAGCAGTGGGGCTGGCTGGCTGCCTCAGTGAGGCTCCCTCTAAGGAGAGCGAGTTTAAAAGTGGATTTTGATCAATGAAATCTTAATTTACAACCAATGTGGCTGGCATGCTTCTCTTTTATACTCAAATTTTAGAATTCTTTTTCCCCAAATCTTTATTGTTGAGAGTATTACAGATGTCACTCTCCCCTCCCACTACATTAACCCCCCTCCACCTGGTTCCCGCCCTACCCCACCCCAAGCCTTCACCATCCTTGTGTCTGTGTCCATAGGTAAGCTCTTTGGTTAATCTCTTCCTGTCCCCCCTCTCCCCTTCCCTCTGAGATTCATCAGTCTGTTCCATGTTTCCATGCCTCTGATTCTATTTTATTCACCAGTTTATTTTGTTCATTAGATTTCTTGTTCATTTATTTTGATTTTTAGAATTCTTTTTTTTTTTAATATATTTTATTGATTTTTTACAGAGAGGAAGGGAGAGAGATAGAGAGTTAGAAACATCGATGAGAGAGAAACATCGATCAGCTGCCTCCTGCACATCTTCTACTGGGGATATGCCCGCAACACAGGTACATGCCCTTGACCGGAATCGAACCTGGGACCTTTCAGTCCGCAGGCTGACGCTCTATCCACTGAGCCAAACCGGTTTCGGCTTGATTTTTAGAATTCTTAAATGTGTATATTTTTAACCCACTTCATAAAAACCAACATAGTTATCTACTTTGAAGAATTTGTCTCTTTCTTCTTGGCTGCCTGCATTCACTCTTTCCCTGTGCCCTTGCAGCTTTAGGAGCGTTGTAACTCATATGTGCAACTGTCCATTTCCTCAGATTTGTGACCCAGGAGGAACCCTGACCTCAGCTGTGGCTCTCGGTGCTGGCAGAAGCCAACTTCATGTCTGAGTGCACGAGCAGCAGATTGCCATGGAGAGCTTGGGGCTGCAGACAGTCACCCTCAGTGACGGGACAACGGCCTACGTCCAGCAAGCGGTCAAAGGTGAGTGTTTCCAGAGGCTCAGAACCCCCTTGTCCCCCAGCTTCCGGAGAGGAGGGTCCCCGTCCACAGGCTCCCCCGCCTCCCAGCCGCTTGCCACATTGCTCTGCGTGAGCATCTCTTGAGGTAACTCTTTAAAATCAAACGCCATCTAGGCGGCGAGAAAACCAGGCCAGACCAGCGTAGGCGCCAAGACCTCTGAAAGCAGAATTCCTTAACTACTTCTGGAACAGATGAACACAGTGCTGGTTTTGACTTCCTGCTTTTCAATACCCCTGTCCAGTTACTCAGACTTCCCAGCAAGTTTAAGCGCTCAAACTATCTACTGAGCATCTACCATGCACAAGATACTCTTCTAGGTCCAGAGAGGGACACCCAAGAATAGAGCTCATGCCTTCAGCCCCACCAGGGTCGCCAGAAATAAAAATACATACCACACTGTTAAAGCTGCATTTCAGAAACAATAAATAATTGTGTAGTATAAGTCTGTCCCAAATACTACATGGGATAGACATGTATAAGCATGGAACTAAATGCTAAAAATACTAAAATAAAAACACTAACTACTAAAAAAATTCACTGTATATCTGAAATTGAGATTCTCTAGGATCAAGGTGAGGGTGGCTTCAGAACAGAGTGCAGTTGAAGGGCCAGGCCTCTGGGCCAGGGACACTTCCCTCACCGCAGGCTCCTTCCAGCCTCAGACATGCCAGATGGCATCACGTCCCCTCGGGCAGCGCCAGCAAACACTGTCTCATTCCTCGTCTTCATCTTGCCTTTTCTGGGTCTGAGCGCTGCCGTCCTCACAACGGCATTGTCACCGCAACATCGCCCTCCCTCACTTCAACACGTCCACCGCAACATCGCCCTCCCTCACTTCAACACGTCGTCAAAATGTATCTCGGTTCCCAAATTTACAGATAATTTGTTTGTTGATTTCATTTCAATGGTCTGCTTCCTGATGATGACAAAGAGACCCCTAATCTCATCGGTATGCTAATGTATGGGAGCCTTCTGGAAAGGTTTCTTATCAAGACCTAGAGGATGTGTGGGGCTGGCTTAGTTTTCTTGAACATGGAACTTCTCTAGAATCCCGAAACCCTGTGTTTGCAGACTTCCCATCGCAGTTGTTGCCCACTACTGCAGTCCGGTGGTGGAAGAACTTAGGAACTGTGTAGGCTGGGCATGTTTACTCCACGGACCCAGTTATCGCCCGTGCCTCAGTCTGCACCAATTTTTAATGGTAGAATGAATAAGTAAAAGCAAGAGGCGGTATTTGGCCTGAGAAAGCCACACTCTTTTCTTATCTCTTTCCTTCTTGTATCTGGGTCTCTGCCTCCCCCACGTCCTGTTTATGTCTTTCTCTCATCACTCTTCCTGGCTCTGTTCTCTGCCTCCTGCAAGGTGCTGCAGTGTGTACTTGCACGTATGCACACGCTCACACACAGCAGATTGCACACTGCGGACGGGAGAGCTGGCCTCCCGCACGCAGAACCGCACTGTCTCGGAAGGCACCTCTCTGGTGAGCTCCTCTGAAGCCCCTGACGGGGCACGTTCATCTCTGTCAGCAGGCAGCTGTGCCTGGGCCCCGGCATGTGCAGGAAGCCCTAATGTTATGAAACTAGGGTCAGCATAAAGCATGTCATTCAAACCCGACTCCTCTGAGAGTGGAATAGCGTGCTGTGAGTACACGCACTGGACTGCCCGACGCCAGGATAGTGCAGCCGCTCTGTGATGGGCCGGGAGGCCCGCCAGCCAGCTCTTCTCCCCGCTCCCCATCGTAGCCTCTGGTTGTTACAGGAAATTCTAGGTTAAAGTTTTTCTCAGCCGCCCTAGCTGGTTTGGCCCTGTATATAGAGCGTCAGCCTGTGGACTGAAGGGTCCTGGGTTAGATTCTGGTCAAGGACGTATGTCTGGATTGCAGGCTTGATCCCCAGTAGGGGGTGTGCAGGAGGCAGCCAATCAGTGTTACTCTCTCATCACTGATGTTTCTAACCCTCTCTCCCTCTCCCTTCCTCTCTGAAATCAATAAAAATATATTTTTTAAAAAGTTTTTCTCAGCCATTATTACACATTTCAAAATATATTTTAAATTAAAATGTGAATGGCATAGGTTAAATGTACATTAGTAAAATATATGCAGTGTGTTCAATATAGATTTACTTTAAGATCAAGGATGATATAGAAATATAGAAATGTAAATAAAATATTGATAGCTGTACATTAAAAAGAAAATTTGTTTCTTAAATAACTCTTCCCAACATTTTGTTTTCTGCCTTGAAGCGGTGCCCAGTTCATAGCAGAATCTCTGCTGATGCTTTCAGAGCCCAGCACTGGCGTCGGGCCAAGACAGATGCAGGGGCCGCTGCTCACGGGAAGGGGTGGGCGGGGCTTCCCTCTCCCCTCTCCTGTTGCCTTCGTCTCCACTCCACCTGCCTTCGGCTGGGTGGTAGAGCTGTTAACCACTGACCCAAGAGGACTCAGTTTGGGGACAAGTTTGGGAATTCCTCGGAGGAGGAGACATCAGCAGGGAGCTGGGCCAAAAGGATTGCCTGTCCCACACAAGAGCTCAGCTTCCTGAACCCGAAACTTGTACGGAAAGGAATGAACAACCCAGTTGTCATTAGTGCTTCAATCTCCTTTTTCTCTTCCCCTCCCCATTCCCTCCGTCAGACTCACTGGTCACAAAACTCCTAAGAATCTTTTGCTCTTAGAAGGGCTTCTCAGTAAGAATCTGAGATAAAGGAAAGATAGTATCATAGGCACTCTGTGGTCTTATTAATTTTTAGAGGGCTATTTTGTTGCTTTAGGTGAGTCGGTTTTTTATCAGACAAGTGAAGATGGCAGAGGTCAGTGAAGGAGACAGTGTCCATTGGCAGTGGAGCGAGACTGGTGGGCATGTGGGAGCACAATAGTCACATTCACTTGGCTCCCGACTGCTTTCCTTTCTGCTTCTTCTAATGTACAGATGGGGCTGATTGTAAAAAACAAAACAAAACAAAAAAAGAAAAACGAAGGTTATTGAGAGCGGGCCACATCCCAGGGACTGTTCTGAGTGTTTTATATTCATTAACTCATTTAACCCTGATAGCAGCCCAATGGAGACAATTTTTAATCATTTGAAGAAGAAGCTGAAGCACAGAGAGGTTAAATAAGCTGCACACAGCTAGTAAGAGGCAGAGCTGAAAGGCCGTCCCAGGAGGCCTGGGCTGGTTCCAGAGCCCATTGCTTCTAACTGTAAGCCACACTGCCTATCAGAGGGGCTGGGCCTTGGCACACTGGCACAGGGAGATGGGGGATGTATTTTGATTTGGTTATTTTGAGCCATATCTGACTTTTGACCCATTGGGTCCTTTCTAGGTTTCAGGGCATCCTTTGTTCTTCAGTTAGTTCAGTCTCAGCAACTGCTCTGTTAGGTTGGAAGCCCCGCTTTGCTGGGCATGTATAGAATAATAGGTGCAATGGCTCCCCCTGTGGGGATCTGTGGGGTCCCTCATGGATCAGGCCTTGGGAGCAGGGAGCGAGGTAACCTGGAAAATGTCACCTGTATCTCAGGCCTCCGCTAAAAACAGGCAGGTGTTTTCAGCCCTTTTCTGCGCCTGGCCCACTTCTCTCCATTTCCATCTCCATAGGAGAGAAGCTGCTCGAAGGACAAGTGATCCAGCTCGAGGACGGAACCACCGCCTACATCCACCAAGTGACAGTGCAGAAAGGTGAGGAGGGCAGGCAGCCCCCATCAAGGAGCCCTGCCTGGCACCAAGCTCCAGAGAAAGGCGGGCACTGCTCTCGTTACAGAACCTCTGTCCTTTGAGGATGGACAGCCTGTGCAGCTGGAGGACGGCAGCGTGGCCTACATACACCGCACACCCAAAGGTGGGGTCACAGGCATCATGACTGCGGGAGGAAGGGAGACGAGCTGGCGGCGGCGGGCGCATGGAGTGGCATGCCCTGGGAGTTGGGGCATAGTCATGGGAGCGTGGCCCCCAGCTCCCCTGGATTAGCAATCTCAACTGCCTTCTCTTGTGCGCACCCAGGAGGCTGGGCCTTGGGGGTCAATAGCATGAGCCTCGATGGCGGCTGTGGTTCTAGCACAACACAAATCTTAGGGCTTTAAATAGGACCGAAGAATGTCATCCAAGACCAGGAGCAAAAAACTTATATTTAAGAATAAAGCTTGTGCCCTGGCCAGTGAGATTAGTGGTTAGAGCAGCCGTGGGCAAACTACGGCCCGTGGGCTGGATCCTGCCCGTTTGAAATGAATAAAACTAAAAAAAAAAAAGACCGTACCCTTTTATGTAATGATGTTTACTTTGAATTTATATTAGTTCACACAAACACTCCATCCATGCTTTTGTTCCGGCCCTCCGGTCCAGTTTAAGAACCCATTGTGGCCCTCGAGTCAAAAAGTTTGCCCACCCCTGGATTAGAGCATCGGACTGCACACCGAAGGGTCATGGGTTCAATTCCCGGTCAAGGGCACATACCTGGGTTTCTCTCTCTCTCCCCCTCCCTCCTTCCCTTCCACTCTCTCTGAAAAGCAAAGGAAAAAATACCCTTAGATGAGGATTAATAAGAAACAAATAAACCAAAAAAAAACTAAATCTCCTAAGGTACTGAAGAATAACAATTTATTCCTTCCGCAAGTAGTTTCCTGAGTGACTACTTGTGTGTGCCTGGATTGCTACGTGTGGAATATACAAGCGAGTACAAAGTCTGACGGTCCCAGCTTCCCTGGGGTCCAGTGAGGGAAACAGAAGGGTTGTAAATAGTCACTGAGGAGCTGGTCATCACAAGCAGAGTCCAGGCTCAGGGAGGGTCTCTGGGGAAGTGACACTGGGCTGAGGGCTGAAGAATGAAGTGGACTCGGCTAGGGAAGAAAAGGTGGCAGGGACAGAGGAACACCCTTCATTGGCCCAGAGATGGGGAGAAGGAATGGTCCGTTTCAGCAACTGCTAGAAGTTAGAGTACTGGGGGTGAGGGCAGAATCGGTAAGATGAGGAGATGACGCCAAACAGAGGCAGGGCCAGAGCCTGGGGCGTCAGGAGAAGGGTTTTGGCCTTTCTCCTGAGACCAGTGGGAAGCAGCTGAACTGTTTGGGTCCACATGATCACCTTTGTGTCCTGCAAAGATCCCCCAGACGCCATCTGCCTGGAGGGAAGAGAGGGGGGAGTGACCACCGGGTAGGAGGTTCTGGTGGTCATGTAGGTGGAGATGGTGGTCCCCTCGGGTTCTCCAGGAGCTTGTGAGTTCCCAGCGAGAGCTCGATGGAGGCCTCGTCCTGAGGAGAGGCAGTCCCAGGAGACAGGCCGGGAGACACGATGCCGAGACCCTCCTGGGCCCAGTGCCTCTCCTAAGCGCCTGTCCCCACAGAGGGCTACGACCCCAGCTCCCTGGAGGCCGTCCAGCTGGAGGACGGCTCCACTGCCTACATTCACCACCCAGCGGCTGTGCCGGCGGACAGCACCATCCTGGCCGTGCAGACGGAGGTGGGCTTGGAGGACCTGGCTGCCGAGGACGACGAGGGCTTCAGCGCGGACACGGTGGTGGCCCTGGAGCAGTACGCCAGCAAGGTGAGCTCGCAGAGCCTCACCGCCCACAGCTCTCTTGGCCCTGCCAAGACTGCCACCTCTTTAGAAAACAAGACCGCCCGTGCTTGGGCCTGGCCTGGGCTACTCCCTCAGCCCCTGTACCCCCGCCCCCGGCTCATCGTTCACATCCTCATCCAGGGCGTGCGTCCAGCCTGGCCGGCCCTGCCGACAGCTGTTTCCGCTCACCCTTGTCTGCGCTGCCTCTGCGGGGGAGGCAGCCGTGAGCAGCAGTGACATCCGTAGTCCTGGCTTCACTTTGGCTGCCCAGAAGCCCTTGCCAGTGACTTTTATTAGTTTTCCCCGTCCACTGAGGTCAGATGTTCTTGTGTGTATTTCTTCTCTGTGACTCATTTAGTCATTTGGGGAAATAACCTCAGGAGGCAGTTATGGGGCAGATGTGACAGAGCAGCTGGGATTCTTGGAACACGAGGCCCACACGGTAGCTCAGCTGCAAAGGAAAAGGATCCCGGCTCTCCAGACGTCCGTCAGCCCCAGCGGTCTGTGCTGGAGCCGTGGTCCTGCCCGCAGGGAGGCGGGCACAGAGACCTGTGAGCTCCCCTAGCCCGGTGCTCCCTGCAGCGTGAGCTACGGAGCCGGTAGATGTGGAGGGGCTCCCTGGAGCACGAGCTTTACCCGGAGATGGGGTTGTTTTTAGGGTGAAACTAGTGCGGCTGTGTCACAGAGAGGAGAAAACCCTATGTCTTTCCACAATGGAGCACAAAGCTTTACAGCGGCCACCGGGCTATGCCCACTACCCCCCCCCCCCCCCCCCCCGTTCCTGGAGTGTATTTTAGGAGCCAATTTGAGAGTTGATGCTATTGGAGACAACTGGGCTTTAAGTCACGAGTCCTGAGGTTTGTGCTGGCTCCGCCTCTACCCTGTCGGACCGTGGGTAGTCACTCTCCTCCCAGGCCTCAGCTTGCTCCTCTCTGATTTGCTGAGATGGGACCAGATGACCTCAGAGGTCACTTCCAGCCTGAAGTTCCTTGATTCCCTCTATCGCCCCGAGAGCTACTGAGACATGGGAGTGAAATTGCAGAGCTGAGTGGGTTAGCTCGCTGGGCAGGCCTGGCCACCTGTGACCCTCCCCGCCAACCACCAGCTTCTGAATTGTCCATGAAACTTTGTCAGCCCCCTGACCCTTGACCTGGAGCTGACTAGACAGACCTTGCCATGAATTTGGCCTCACCTCTTGACTCCCCACCCACATGACTTCCGGAGTTCTGTTTCGGGAGCTCCTGGAAGGCCAGTGTCCCAGAACAAAGACTAGGGGCAGTCTCAGCAGGACCCTCCCCAGGAGAGAGCAGTGAGCTCCCTGAAATGAGAGGCCGGTGGGAATAGGTGGCTCTGGGACTGCTCCCAGGAGAGATGAAAGGGGGGGCTAGCCAGTTAGCTGGCGCGGTGGTTGGAGCTGCTGCTGGGAACACCTGCGGGTCCCTCCCTGTGCTGCAGTGTGCCGGGGGGGGGGGCCCTCCCTGCTGAACCCCGGTGGGCCCATCCCCACAGCAGCCCCCTGAGCACAGGTGTCCCACAGGGAGCACGGGCTCCTCTCATCAGAGGAGAGCGGGTGCAGAGTGGCGGCCTCCTAGCTGTGTGTGGTCAGAAGGGGGTCACTGGCTCCCAGCTTAGCTCGAGTGTGGCCGTGCAGACCACCCTCCCCACCTTACCGAGCCGGCGCGGGCGCTGTTTCTCCCATGGCTGTCACAGCCTGTGACACGCGTCCTCCCTCTGCCCATTAGAGATGGTGGTGACCCGGCACCAGCCTGGTTCTCCACAGTGTCTGTTCCCTCTGCCAGGGCCTGTCACCCAGGTTGCCCTTTCCCCCTGGCAGTTTCCCCTGCTTATTGGGTCTTAAGCTGCCCCAGGTGGGCCCTGTGTCCCACCCCTTTCCTCCTTTCATTGAGGAGAATACATATGGGGACCCCACGATTTTTCCTCAGGTTCTGCAGGACAGCCAGGCACCCCATAATGGCAAAGGGCAGCAGGTTGGGGACAGAGCATTCCGCTGTGGCTACAAGGGCTGTGGGCGTCTGTACACCACTGCTCATCACTTGAAGGTAAGGTTGCCACAGACAGCTTTCAGCCTTTCCATCTCCCCACCAGCCTGCAGTTCTGCCTGCCCGCTTTGACTGGGCGTCCCTGCCCTCAAGTTGCTCATTGCCTACTGGAGGGAGAGATGGGTATACAGAAATGTCCTCACGGGGGCTGTGACCATGAAGAGTGCAGGAAGAAAGAGAATCAGGGAAGGCTTCCTGGAGCAGGTAGCCTCTCAGTTGAAAAGGAAGCAAAATAAAGGAGGTGACTGACCTCTGGGCTGATACTCTGGGCCCTAAAAAGCATTGACAAGCCCGTTCATATCCTTGTCCCTCTGAATTGTGTGATTGCTTGTCCTGACAGGTGCATGAAAGAGCTCATACAGGGGACCGCCCATACAGATGTGACTTCCCCAGCTGCGGAAAGGCCTTCGCCACAGGTAATCTACTGATGGAGGCTGAAGGTGGGCTGCTTCTAGTTGGAGGCAGAGGTTCTAGATCAGCTTTGGGGACTCCCCCTGGGGACCCTGGCACCAGGCTCCTTCCTGGAGAGACTGCTCTCAGAGCCCCCTGACTCGCAGGGCGCTGACTCTGGAGGAAGCCCTGTTTCAGAAGCAAGTGGCACATGGTTTACTTTAAGCAGAAGGAGACTGGAGGGGGGTGGTCGGCAGAGACCCTGCCTTTTGTGTCAGCTCGGACACCGAACACGGTGGGGTGTTGGGTTGGCCACTGCATCTCTGGGCTTCATTTTCCTCTGAATCAAGAGCCTTAGCCCAGGGTTCCCTAGGTTCCCTCTCACTCAGGTGTCCCACGGGACACTCATGTTCTGGAATGGACCTGCCCCCTGGAGAGGGCAGGAGGGCAGAGTGGGCTTCCCAGCTCTTCTCGCCTTCCCAGGCAGGGGTGGTATAGAGGCAGATGCAGGCTTCGTGGGCCAGAGGAGGCCTGGAGCCTCCCAGACACACCTGAGGCGGAGAGCCGCGAGCTGGGAAGTGAGGCGGGGGAGGATGAGGCCCCACGGAGTGTCCTTCTCACCCTCCCTCCCACTTGGCGGCAGGCTACGGGCTGAAGAGCCACGTGCGCACCCACACTGGTGAGAAGCCATACAAGTGCCCAGAGGAGCTGTGCAGCAAGGCCTTCAAGACCTCGGGAGACCTGCAGAAGCACGTCCGCACCCACACTGGTAGGCGGTCTGGAGCCTGGTGCTGTCCTGGCCACTGCCCCAGCGTGCCCCCTTCCTGACCACACCCCGCCCTCCACCCTCCACAGGTGAACGCCCGTTCCGGTGCCCCTTCGAGGGCTGTGGCCGCTCCTTCACCACATCCAATATCCGCAAGGTACACGTGCGCACCCACACGGGCGAGCGGCCCTACACCTGCCCCGAGCCCCACTGTGGCCGAGGCTTCACGAGCGCCACCAACTACAAGAACCACGTGCGCATCCACACAGGTGGGCCAGCTAGCATGCAGGACGCCCTCCGAGGCCCCGCCCTTCACTGTAGGTTCTGGCCGGTCAGGCTGGTCTGTGGGCGGGGCGAGGGGGTTCTGCGGTTCCGGCCATGCCCTTGGAACCACCGTTTCACTTGCACTGTGCAATCTGACAGGTATTGCCTGCCCTCCCAGCTCCCTGCCACCTCTCTCCACTCTGAATTCTCCCTCTCCAGCTGAGCACCCAGCAGCAGGCCAGGCTCAGGCATGAGGGGGACACGGCAGAGGGAAATGTCCCCTTCGGCTCCTCGCCTCACCCGCTGTCCTATGACTCTGGTGTATCCTCGCCCTCCCCAGTGTTAGGTTCCTCGTCCAGCCTTCGGTCCCCTCACTCTGCATTGCCCCTGACACAACAGTCACCCTCTCCATTCTCTGCCTCTTCTCTTCACAACCTCAGCCTCACAGACCCCAGTGCTCCCCTCCAGCCCCTTCCTTAGCCCCAGCTTTGCCCAGCCCCCCATTTTCTCTCCATCTGTCCCCAGCAGCCCCACACTCATGTCCCCTCTATTCCACTGGCCATCTTCCCCAAGCCTGTCCACTTAGAGTTCCAGGTCTTAGTCCCTCCCCCTCCCTCTGGCACTCTCTTCACCAACCCTACCCCCCACCCTGTCCCCTTAGATTTCCCCTTGCCAGCCCCAGTTCCCACCCCCCTCACAGCCCAGTGTCCCCAGGGGAGAAGCCATACGTTTGCACGGTGCCAGGCTGTGGGAAGCGCTTCACCGAGTACTCGAGCCTGTATAAGCACCACGTGGTGCACACACACTGCAAGCCCTACACCTGCAGCACCTGCGGCAAGACCTACCGGCAGACCTCCACCCTGGCCATGCACAAGCGCAGCGCCCATGGCGAGCTGGAGGCCACCGAGGAGAGCGAGCAGGCCCTCTATGAGCAGCAGCAGCTCGAGGGTGAGGGGCATGGGCCGGAGGTGAGAGTGGGGACAAGCCAGGCCTCCCCTTGGCCATCCGGTGGCAGGTGTCAGCCTGGGCTCTCCTCTCCCAGCCGCCTCTGCAGCCGAGGAGAGCCCACCACCCAAACGACCTCGCATTGCTTACCTTTCGGAGGTGAAAGAAGAGGGTGATGACATCCCAGCCCAAGTGGCTATGGTGACTGAGGAGAACGGGGCCCCCCAGGTGGCTTTGATCACTCAGGATGGTGCCCAGCAGGTACCGGCCTGGGGGTGGGGGTAGGGATGGGGGGGCACTCTGGCTAGTACCTTCTCCCTCTCTTTCTGGGGAGCCTGGAAGTTCTGACAGCCCCACCTCCACCCAGTTCCTCTCTCTAGCCTCTGGCTGTCAGTGAGCTGAGGCTGAGTCTTGTAACAGCCTCTCCTCATGCTTCCAGGGATCTCTGGGGCTTCGGGAGCACAGTTAGTTGCCCTCCTTACTTGGAGGCTCACAGGTCCTGACCACTTGAATGAGGCACTTGGATGTCCTTCTCAAGAGAGGCATGCTGTGCAGAGGCCAGAGCACGGGGTGGCGATTCTAGCCAGCAGTAACCCTGACCTTGTCAGCACCCTCACTGTCAAGTGCACTGTGCCTTCGGGAGTTGGCATAGGATGAATTAGGTGGAGACCCTGAGTTGCATGGAACAGAACCCTGCAACAAAGTGGTGGTAATGGAAGTGGTCAGCAGAGGGTCCAGTGTAGCCTCTGTACAGCCCAGGACCTGTTTCATTGCTTGTCCCTGACCACCTGTGCCGTGCAGCCCATCTCCTAGGTTACCGACAAGTTAACCTTGTTCGGGGGGAGGGAAACATCCTCCCAGGGCTTCCAGAAAGCCCACCACTGCGCTCCCCGTTCACCCTCCTCCTTCCTGTTGGCAGGTCAGCCTGTCCCCGGAAGACCTGCAGGCCCTGGGAAGTGCCATCAGCATGGTGACCCAGCACAGCAGCACCACCCTCACCATCCCCCGTCCCGACGATACCCTTGCCGCATCGGGCACACATACGGTCACCATGGTCCGCGCCGATGGCTCCCAGACACAGCCCGTATGACCAGGCAGCTTGCTTGGGGCTTCTTGTTCTCCTGTCCTTCCTTTCCGTTGGGTGGACATTTAAGTGCAGGCTAAACTAGTCAAGCTTTCTTATGGGGACCCAGATTCCCCTACAAAAAGAGCATTCCCATCAGCCATTCCCTGTGGAGAAGCTGTTTGAAATCTCAATCTATCCCTTATCTGTTTGCTACCACAGGCAAGTCATTTTTTATGCCTTTTTGTCCATTTCAAATGAGGGAGTTAAATGATCTCTGGGGCCTTTTACAGCTCTGTCCTATGACTCAAAATCCCTAAATTAATTTAGAGAAAAACACAGCATCAGTGAGCTCTGAACCCCAATTAATCTGATCCAAATGGTTTGATCTGTTCTCTTCAGGGTTTTCCCAGCCTTCTTATTGGAGGGATTTGTTTGGATTGGGGGGAGGGAGAGTAATGTAAGTGAGTTGGAAAACCTCTTTCATCTGTATTTCAGGTCACAATCATTACCTCTGGGGCTGTGGTGGCGGATGACTCAAGTGTAGCACCCCTTCATCATCAACAGGTGGCGCTGTTGGCCACAGCCAACGGAACGCACATTGCTGTGCAGGTGGGTAGAGGTCTGGGAGAGGAGTTAGATGGAGATCTTGAGAAGGGCATTTGGCTCAAAAGCGGCTCACTTCAGAGGGAAGATCCCTTTCTTCCTACATCCACATGCCTGTCTCGGCCCTTTCTTGACTGAGGCAGAGTGGAGCAGCCCCTTCCAGCCTTCACAGTAACTTCAGTGGCAGTCTGCCTGGTGGTCTAAACCCTTCGTCTCTTCCTAGCTTTATTTCTTCACCAGGAAAAGAAGGAGGCTCTCCAGCCAGTGGTTCCCTTCTGTGAACAAGCCCGCCTCTCTGACCCTGGACCATTCTGTGGCTCCCTGGCCATACCTAGCCTAGCAGGACTCTTCATCAGTGCACCTCCTGTTAATGGGGCTCCACTAAGTGTCCAGTGTGGCACTGGGTGGATGGAGGGAATTCGGAAAGTAGGCCGCATACCACCACCCCTCGAACCTAGAAGAGGGCCTCACTCTCTCCTCTCTCCACAGCTGGAGGAGCAGCAGACCTTGGAGGAGGCCATCAGCGTGGCCACTGCTGCCATGCAGCAAGGGGCCGTGACCTTGGAGGCCACAGAGACAGGGAGCGGCTGCTGAGTCCTGGAGGGCTGGGTCCCGCACATGGAGGAGGCACCGTGCGCATAGCCATCCTCGCCTCCACAGGCGCAGGCTGAGGCTGACACGTGGAGGTGGCCACGTAGTCTCCAGGGTGAGAAGACAGCAGGGAAATGGCCTAACTGAAGGGGATGGGAGCCCTGCCCAAGAGGAGGGCCGGACAGCCGGAATCAGGGGAGTGTGTCATCCTCAGGAGCTAAGGACAAGCGTGGTCACCAGGCTGCACCGGGGCGTCCTCCCCTCAAAATCAGCTGGGCACCCACTGTCCTCTCCAGAGAATACCCTTCCTGCCCTCCCACTCCCCTTCTCAGGTGGCAATTGGGGCTTCTGTGGGGATTGGTCATCCACTCGGACTGGTCGCTGTCCACCAGGAGAGAGGCAGACAGGTCTTCAGCCCAGTAGGAACAGAACAGTCCCAGCCCCGCCCCTCCCAGCAATAACCACCTCCCCAGAGGCCAGCGAGATGCCGGGTCACCTGGCAGCGGGGTACCTCCTGCCGCCACAGTCAGAACTGCTCAGGGGCCTGTGGCTGGAGAAAAGGTGCCCGACTGCCCCCACCCCCATCTGCCCCTCAACCTCTGTGGTAGAGGCAAGGAACAGCCTATACATACTGGGGATTGGGTTTAATTTTCTAAATTGCATTTTGATAATTTTTTCCTGCTGTGAGCAGTGGTGGCAAACGGGTGAATGAGTATTTAATAAAGTTTCAAGTTTCCACCTGGGTCCCTCCATTTCTTTCAGCTTTGAGCCCTGTTGACCGGGCCGGTCAAATCAGGCACTTAGCTCTGTATCCCTGGCACAAACGCCATGGAGCCTTGGTGCTGGACTGGTGGGACTGCCCTCCCAGGGGCACAGGTGGGAGGCAGCCCTGAGGAGCTGCCAGTGGCTTCCTGCCCACAGCCGATCAAGTGGGCTTCACGGTGGTCAAGCAGGACCAGTGCGACCACTGCTTCTAGGCTCTGGTGGGATCTCTGACCTTGTGTTACATAGTCAGAGCCCGTCCAGACCCAGTCAGCTGCTCCAAGTGGACAAAGCCCCACATCGGAGGGGGCAGGGGCACCTTTGCTCAGGTTACTGAGGGTCCCTGGTGCTGAAGTCCTGGCTCTGGTACCTAGCTCTGAGGGTGCCCGCCTCGGTGTCTGGAGCCATGTCATGGAATTCCAAAACCACAGTCAGACCCCACCAAAAAATGGTAGGACCAGACCAGCCCTGACAGGAGGGAAGGGCTGCGGGAGAAGGGATTTGATGGAAAGAATCTTTGGGTCTGACCCCTCCTGCCTGGGAACATTGCAGGGATTGGAGGTGCCCCAGGCCACTTCCACCCAGGAACGGAACCCTCTCCCCCAGCCCATGTGTCCTCCCCTCTCCTGGGATGCCTAGCAAGGTCCCACTTACCCTGCACCTGCTCCATGGAGGCAGGGGGCCTGGGCCATGCCCCAGGGAGGCGATTTCTCAAATGCCTAAGTTGGCACCTTCAACATCCATGACCCCTGTTCCCGGCGGGAGGGTGTCCGGGCCCCAATGGGCCCTGGATCTAAAACAACTGGAAGCACTGCTCTGGAGCCCTGAGCCCCAAGCCTCTGCCACCCCACCCTGTGTGCCTCAGACACAGCCTGGTCTTCAGGGCCAGGGGCCCGAGTGGGCAATGCTCTGAGTGCCTTTAGCGCCAAAGCCCGGAGGACAGGAGGCAGCAGGTCACGTGCCAGGTCCGCCTGACCTGGGAAGCCCTGGCCCAGCCCCACAGTTCTGTGCCGCTGCCTTTGTCTCCTCCTGCCTGGGAGGAGCCCCCACCCCCCAGTCCTGTCAGATGGCACTAAAGGAATGCTTTGTCCAGCGCCTACTCTGCTTACAGCTGCTCTCAGGCCTTCTTACAACTCGGGGGCTGGGTGTTTCCCCTGCTTTACCAATGGGGAAGCTGCTCGAGGAGGTTAAGCAGTTTATGTCGGATCTGGTAAGTGTGGAATGAGACAGGACTCCCCTCACCCCCATGTGACTCCAAAGCTAGGCTGGGCCTGCGTCTGCCCACAGCAGGCTGTCTCTGGCAGCCCAGGGGCCAGCGGAACAGACCTGGGGCCCCAGCTCTGGGGCTTGGGCGTCGCTGCCTTGGCGAGTGGAGCCACGGAGCCCTGCAGGAGCGACAGGCTGGCCCCGCCAGTCAGCACAGGCAGCCGGGCGAGCAGGCAGGTGGAGCTCTCGCCCTGCGCCAGCCCCTCTGTGGTCTCGGCAACCGTTTGCATTTCCTGAAACCGGATCTCGGTGTCAGAGCCACCGTGGGCGGGCGCCTCAGCCATGGCCCTGCGAAAGGAGCTGCTGAAGTCCATCTGGTACGCTTTCACCGCGCTGGACGTGGAGAAGAGCGGCAAGGTCTCCAAGTCCCAGCTCAAGGTGAGGGCACGCGGGGCCCAGGGAGGCTGGCAGACACCCACGGGCCCCACCGCCCAGCCCGGCGTGAACACTGAACTCTCGGGCACCCAGCCATCGAGAGGCCCGGGCATGGAGGGGGCCAGTACTGGGTGGCTGCTGCCCACTGTCCGGGGAGCAGGGGCGGTGCAGGGCCATCGCCCAGAGCCTGCCCCTCCGATGTCGGGATGTTGAGGCGGCATCATGGTTTCTGAGGGCCACGGGCCAGGTGACGTCCGAGACTCCGTGCGATGAGTACACATCGCCCCGGAGTCAAGCTTGGGCACGTACCCTGCTCCTCCCTGCTGCTTCCTCCTGCCTTTGAAGAGAGACAGTTAGCTAATGCTTGTCAGTCACTTCTGCGGCCGAGAGGTTTACAGAGCCTTTCCCAGTCCAAACTGGCCGCTGGGTCTCTTCTGGCAGAACAGCTCCTCGGAAGCCTGCCTCCCAGCGGGACTGAGCTGGGAAGGGCATTATGCTGATACCTACCTCCCCCTCCCCCTCCCCCCACTTCGGGTTAGAGAACTGTTGCCTTAAGCTTTGAGACCTCAGGTAGGAAGGGGGTGGAATCTGAGCCCAGGGAGAGCCATCGGTGATTGCCCTACGGTTCGCTGGCCCTAGACAGTGCCTGGTAGGCCCAAGGCTTTCTCTCCTTCCTTCATCCAGGCCTGTGGGGATGCCGTCTTCTCCACCCTGGTGAGTGGGCAAGAAGCAAGACCCTAGGCCTGTGACTTTTCAACCCATGTGCTGCAAGAACTGTTGAAACATGTAATGCCTATTTAGTCAGGGGCACTGACCTCTTTGCCCTTAGATTTCCAAATAAAAAAATAACAACAGCCAACACCACAATAGCCGTCCGGTGTGAATGAATCAAAATTATACCTGCCCTGGCCAGTTTGCTCAATGATGAGAGTGTTGGCCCACAGACCCATGAGTCTTGGGTTCGATTCTCAGTCAAAGGCATGTACCTTGGTTGCAGGTTCAATCCCAGTTGGGGCGCAAGAAGGAGGCTACCTTCCTTTCACACTCTCAATGGAAAAAATATCCCTCACTCCTTGAGTGAGGAATTTTTTTTTAATTTAAACTTTTTTGTGTGTGTCAGATTGGCAGAAAATATATTTTGGTGTGCCACAGAATTTTAGTAATCACGTGTGCCGTGAGATGAAAAGGGTTGAAAATTGCTGCCCTAAACTATTAGAACCAGGGAACAGTGGGAGACGGGAGCAGGGTAGGCCGCAGCTCTCTGGACCTGGTGTCTCCTCTGGGCACTCCCAAATAGGGGTGTAGCCTCAAGGAAATCTCCATTCTTAATGACCAAGGTAGGAGGTGCCTAGAAACCAGAGATGAATGGAACTGGGTAGGTGTTATCCCCATCCTCATTCCAACCGCCTACACTGCTGATCTTGGAGGCAATGTCACTGGCTGTCCCAAACTGGTCCTGTCCCGTAACCTAACCCTTAGCCAGCCTGTGAGCAGCCAATGAATGATTCCACTATGCCTTTGATCGCCTGGGAGAACAGCGCTACTGGCAGGCTCTTCTCTATAGTCTACTTCAATTCGTTTATTGCCACTCATGTCATCTAGCGGGGTCTTCAGTTTAGACAGAAGAAATGCAGGTCATCCAAAATCCATCTCTTCTTGAGCCTCTGTCTTGGCCTCTAAGCAGGCCAGTGGCTGCTCCCCACCCCACAGGTTGAATATTTGCAGGGACGATTCCATGGGAAGCTTGCCTACTTGAACTGTTTGCTGTCTGTACAACTCAAACTGAGCCCACAGCAGCCTCTTTGGTCACACGAGGTCAATGGTGGATTTCTCCCTCCACACGACAGAAAACTGGCTCACTCAGGGAACCTGAGCTGGCTGTGAGAGTCTCCCGCAGGTGGTGGATGGGGCATAAATATGGAGCCCGTGCCATCTGAGGTGAACCCTGGAATGGGAGGAAGTAGTGATAGTGTTGGGGGTGGGGATGCCGGAAAGGCAAGAGAGCAATAGAGAAGTGGTCAGAAGGCGGAGGAAGAAGCAGATGAGAGAGATATCCAACCTCTCCCCCTTTTTTTTTCTTTTTAAAATTAAATCTTTATTATTGAGATTATTACAGTTGTTCCTCTTTTTTCCCCCATAGCTTCCCTCCACCCGGTTCCCACCCCACCCTCTGCCCTTACCCTCCCCAACCCACTGTCCTCATCCATAGGTGTACGATTTTTGTCCGGTCTCTTCCCGCACCGCCCACACCCCTTTTCCCCACCAAGAATAGTCAGTTCACTCCCTTTCTATGCCCCTGATTCTATTATATTCACCAGTTCATTCTGTTCATCAGATTATTTATTCACTTGATTTTTAGATTCACTTGTTGATAGATGTGTATTTGTTGTTCATAATTTGTATCTTTACCTTTTTCTTCTTCTTCCTCTTCTTAAAGATACCTTTCAGCATTTCATATAATACTGGTTTGGTGGTGATGAACTCCTTTAGCTTTTCCTTATCTGTGAAGCTCTTTATCTGACCTTCAATTCTGAATGATAGCTTTGCTGGGTAAAGTAATCTTGGTTGTAGGTTCTTGCTATTCATCACTTTGAATATTTCTTGCCACTCCCTTCTGGCCTGCATAGTTTCTGTTGAGAAATCAGCTGACAGTCGTATGGGTATTCCCTTGTAGGTAACTGAGTTTCTTTCTCTTGCTGCTTTTAAGATTCTCTCTTTGTCTTTTACTCTTCGCATTTTAATTATGATATGTCTTGGTTGGTCCTCTTTGGATTCCTTTTGTTTGGGGTTCTCTGTGCTTCCTGGACTTGTAAGTCTAGTTCTTTCACCAGGTAGGGGAAGTTTTCTGTCATTATTTCTTCAAATAGGTTTTCAATGTCTTGCTCTCTCTCTTCTTCTGGCACCCCCAAAATTCGGATGTTGGTACACTTGAAGTTGTCCCAGAGGCTCCTTACACTATCTTCATATTTTTGGATTCTTTTTTCTTTTTGTTTTTCCGGTCAGGTGTTTTTTGCTTCTTCGTATTTCAAATCTTTGACTTGATTTTGCGATCCTCTAGTCTGCTGTTGGAACTCTGTATAATATTCTTTATTTCAGTCAGTGTATGCTTAATTTCTAGTTGGTCCTTTTTCATAACCTCGAGGGTCTCACTAGATTTCTTAAGGGTCTCACTAAATTTATCAGCGGTTTCTAGAAAATTCTTGAAAAACCTTATAACCGTGGTTTTGAACTTTATATCCAGTAGTTTGCTTTCCTCTATTTCTATCATTTGTGACCTGTTTCTTTGTCTCTGCATTTTTTTATGCTTCCCTGTGTTGATAGAGTGGCTTTCTGTG